AAGTATATTCACAAGTTAAAAAGTGTGAAGCAATTAGGACCTTTTACAACAGAGGAGGAAGCTACAGTTAACTACACTTCAATGAGGAGAAATTATTTGAAAGAACTTTCTGAATTACTGAGATACAGGGTTTGATTAATAGATTTTATGGTGTACAGACTCTCAACCATCATGGCAGAATAGGAAAGGAATAAAATAATACAGAGTAAATAAAATATATTTATTTATTAACATTGCAGTGGTTTGGGCATATGATTAGGATGCCTCCTGGACACCTCTTAGCCAAGTGTTTTGGGCATGTCCTTCGGGGACAGATCCAGGACTCACTGGAAAGATTATATCTCTTGGCTGGTTTGAGAATGACTCAGCAGCAGAAAATGGTAAATGGCCTGTATTTGTATATCGCTTTTCTATTCCCTAAGGACCCCAAAGTGCTTTACACAGCCTGTCATCCACCCATTCACACACTGGTGATTGCAAGCTACATTGTAGCCACAGCCACCCTGGGGCGCACTGACAGAGGCGAGGCTGCCGGACACTGGCGCCACCGGGCCCTCTGACCACCACCAGTAGGCAACTTGTCTTGCCCAAGGACACGACGACCGAGAGTGTTGGAGCCAGGGCTCGAACCAGCAACCTTCCGATTACAAGGCGAACTCCCAACTCTTGAGCCACGATTGCCCCCAAAAAAGCGTGGTTGGATTACAATACTTTTATTGTGTTTAAAGGAAATAAGAACACTCACTGTTTTTAGTTACACTGCATTTTATCAACATTAAAATCATGTTAATTTTGTGGTTATGCCTTCCAGGTGTACCTATCTTCCTTCTAGTACTAATCCCTACATTTGGTAAATTTACATATTTTTTCCACTGGGAAGAAGGAAATGCCACCCACCCCTGCACTATCTGTTTACGGAAACCTGTTCTTGTTCTGTTTTTGGAAACCCGTTCTTGTCTTGTTTTATTTGTATGAAAGTGATGCAGCAGCATAAGAACTTGCTATCTTGCTTTAACCCTTCTTCCTTGCAATGTTGCAGTGGTGGCAAAGGTACAGAAATTCTTTACTTAAGTGCAAGTAAAGATACTAGTGTTAAAAAATACTCTAGTAAAAGTTGAAGTACTGATTTAACTTCTTTACTCAGGAAAAGGTAAAAATGTACAGGCTCTGAAATGTACTCAAGGTAAGAAAGTAAAAAGTACCTCCTTGGAGGACATTTCTACCAGCTAAAATGATAAAATAAAGCTGTTTTGATGATTTTTTATATACAAATTGCAAATTATGTGCTCAATAAAAGCTGACACTCCACACTCTAAAAAGTAATTCAGAGGCTTAATCACTATAAATATATATATACTATAAATATATTAACATCCAACTTATATAATCACTATATATAAGTTGGGTGAGCTTGATAAAATCTATGAGTATCCTTTTAGTAATTATTTGAGTTTGATAATTTGAAATAAACGTCTGAAATGTTAGCGTATGTGTTTGTGTAAAATTAAGGTATTTATTTACATTTATCTCAGACAAAAAATTCAGTATGTGGTTCACAGAATACCTTCTTTGCATGTACTTAATATTTTTGTTTAAAACTGAATCAAAATATTTGTGAAATAGGTATCTATACTCATCACTATCTTGTACTAAAATCATTAATTATTCAAATCAATATTATTTATTGTCAGCAACTATAACTGAAAAGTGTAAGTAAAACACGATAACGTAGAGTAATTGAGTACCATGAGCCTTTTTCATTGTTTTGTTCATTTAGTTCTTTGAATACTCTGAGCCTTTGTGTTTGCTCTCCTGGTTTGCCATTTATCCTTCACGTATGTAAGGCTTTGAGCTAAAAAGGGAAAAGGCTCTTGTCTTTTTAGTGCTTGTTTATTTTGAGGTAAAAACACTCTGCAAAACACACTCATTTCAGCAGGTTTGACATTTTTTATTTAGATTTTATTAAAAAGGTCATGGTTGTTATTTCCTGGTGTACGTACGTTCCTGTATAAATGTGTATTAATTTACATTTTGTCTGTTACTGAAAAAACAAAAACAACCTCTGCATCACTGTGATTCTCTTTCTGTTTGGTAGCATATTTCAGTCAGAATGAAATGTGAAAATGTTGACCAACTCTTTTATTTTATGTTTTATAATAATGTTCTATTAAGAGCATTTAAAATGAAATTTACATGACTGAAATATTTCTTCACTGATCAACGCCAAAGTACTACACAAAGTTATATTTATTCGCTTCATTGCAGTATTTAAAAATCACTACAATACAACTGTATTACTCTGTTATAGAATCATTCAAATAAAAAAAGGAGATTCATGAAGACACATGTTTACATTTAGTTGTAAATCTAAACAGTGCACTACAATCAATAGAAATTACTGAATGCTTTTCCAAAAGCAGTTCTCAAAAATACAACTCAAAATATTATTTTATTATTCATTATCATATTTTTATAGTGCAACTACAATGCAAAGTTGGTAGGCATCTAATTTTGACTATAGCTACAGCACTTTTAAAAACTTCATATGTAGTCTCTGACCTTGTTTGTTTTAATGTTGGAGAATATAATCTTGTTCATTAAAAACGCCAAAAACAACATGTAAAAAACACTTGGGGAAAAAAGAGGAAGTGTAACCTGATACAAACTTTGAGTACTTGGAGTACTGTAGTCCTGGCCTACCCCACCTTAGGCCTGAGCATGCAATGTTAGGGAGCAATTCCTAAATTAGGAATGTCATCACCTATAAAGGCTGGTGCAGAAGAACTGCTTACAAGCTCTCTCTTCTCCTTGATCAGCAATATTGTGTTTGTTTTTTTATAGTTTCTGTTCAACAATTTTCATTTTCTTTGTATTTATTTATTTTTACTTTGAGACAAAAACTAAAGTTAAAACACCCTTGGGAGATTTTAATAAAGAAAAAATGAATTATTTTTATCTCACATGGTATTTCTGTAAACAGCTTTACATCCTATGTATAAACCTGGTTTTGTACATTGTGTTTTTCACTAGTGTCAACAAATAGAATTTAGGGTGACCAATTGGTTGTCTTTAACCAATTGGGGCAGTCTTCCACTCAAGCTTTTTAATCAATCTTGTTTTCTGCCCAGTGCCCAGTCCCTGTAAGCCAGAATATGGCATTATTTTTGTGCCACTCTGACCGCACGTATAAAAAAAATAGAGTCCATGTAAAAAAAAATTAGCAGGTGCAAGTGTTGCATTTTGAGGAGAAATTTATTTTGAGCGAAGAAAAGCTAAATTTGAGTGAACAAAATGCATTGCTGCATGCAAAAAATGTATTTCAATGTTTGCTATTATCCATACACACACACACAATAGCAGCCCCTTTCACATCTCCGAAAACATTAGAGCACATTTGTAAATATGTGATGTCTTGATAAATCGAGCAGACATTTGAAGTTTACACAGCACCATTCTCGCATGAAAATATCTTAGAAGTTTATTTTGTGACCCAGAAAGAGTAATATTTCAAACTCTGCCACTCTGTGTTCTTCCGCCACTGCCTCATTTGAGTTTTGGACGAAATGTATTCTGGGATAATGCATTTCGTCATTTCGAGCTCACTGGAGACCAAAACAGACAATCATGTTTTTTTGCATCCAAGTCTGTGATTGGCTGGTTTTGTGGCACAAATATAACGGTGTAGAGAAAGAGTTGAGCGCGCACGGGCAGAAATGTTGAGAACGCGAGCAGCACAAAAATAATGCCATACCAGAAGGGAAAAAGACAGAACACACACATATAAAGAATGCTCTTAAAACATGTGGTTATGCCAATTGAGCTTTCATCAAATCAGCAAAGATGCACAGAAAAGAAGATCAAACTCAACCAGGGAGGATCAGAAGGACAAAAGGAACAATATTCTCATCCCCTATGCAGCAGGTACTGTATATCAGAAACTCAGGAGAGTCTTCTCTAAGCACTAATTCCCAGTGTACTTCAGACCCAGCCAAAAATTTAGACAAAAACTGGTTCATCTCAAACACAAACTCCCAAACACAAAACTTAGTAACATAGTGTGTGTTATGCAATGCAGCGAGGAATGCTCAGACCTCTACATTGGAAAAACCAAACAGCCGCTTTATAAACACATAGCACAACATAGAAGAGCCACCTCAATGGGACAAGACACAGCTGTTCATCTTTATATAGAGGTCAAAGGTCACTCTTTCGAGGATGCCAATGTTCATTTTGGACAGAGAAGACAGATGTTTTGAAAGAGGACTGAAAGTCCACTGTGAACGACCATCTTTGAACAGAGGCGGTGCTTTATGACACCAAATGTCTGCCATCTATAATCCAGTTCTGAGATCTCATCCTAGACACCTTACACCCACTCACATCCTGGGCCATCTGACCACAGGAAATCACATGATAGGGTGGGGTTTGGACCCGTATGAAATACGGCCGTGGAGTAGAAACCCTGAAGACCTACCGCTATTGACGTAGCCTGACTTATTTTTGTACCTTGTCTGTGGAGTCACCGCTTACAAGTCGTCATTCAAACAAAGGTGAGTCAGCTTGAGTACTGCGTTTGATTTTCCCCCGAACATTCAAATTAGTGCAGCATAAATTCATTCACGAGGGGGAAATTACAGTGAGAACATGTGGAGGTTCTGTTAGAGGGATAACATAGTGAGTTCAGTGCATTGATGTGACATTGTCCTGAAGGATTTAGTTATTCTTTATGGTCAAAGAAATTGAAATAATTTATTGTTATAAATAATTCTAATTATACATCTTGCTTCCATGTTTGTGTCCTGTGTCACTAAAATACATTTTATTTTAGTTTTATACATTGATTAATGACCTGCAGAATCTCCTTATCATATTAAGTGATTCATAATTGTCACTTTATGCTTTCTCCATCTTGAAAGTGATGACATCCTTGCATTACATACTTTAGGTTAATTTTCTGCAGGCAGGTTTCTGAAAGAGAACAGGCAGATTTAGAATTTAACATGCATTCCGTCCCCTTAATGTAGATGGGTGGATGTAGGTCAGCATTCCTCCTGTAGTCCACGATGAGCTCCTTGGTCTTCTCAGTGTTAAGCAGTAGGTTGTTTGTGTCGCACCACTCAGCCAGACGATCCACCTCCTCCCTCATCGTTGTCCTTGATGAGGCCAATCACCGTGGTGTCATCTGCAAACTTAATGATGATGCTAAAACCACTGGTAGGTCTGCAGTGGTGGGTGAAGAGGGAGTAGAGGAAAGGGCTCATCACACAGCCTTGTGGTACCCCGGTGTTCATTGTGATTGTAGATGAGCAGCAGTTATCCAGCTGGATATGTTGGGGGCAGTTGGTCAGGAAGTCCAGTAACCATTTGCACATGAGGGAACTGATGCCCAGGTCTGTCAGTTTCCTGATGAGTTGTGAGGAGAGGATTGTATTGAATGCTGAACTGAAGTCTATAAACAGCATTCTGGCATAGGTGTTGTTGTTGTCCAGGTGTGATAGGACAGAGTGCAGTGCGATGGAGACTGCATCCTCTGAGTTCCTGTTCTGACAGTATGCAAATTGGTGGGGGTCCAGGGTGGGGTGGGGGGGGAGACAGGATTTAAAGTGTGCTAGGACTAGCAGCACTTTGTGATGATGGGGGTGAGGGCTACTGGGCGGTAGTCATATAGACACTTATTCCAGTGTTTATAAAAGCTTGACATATACCTTGTGTCACCATGTGTTATAACTTTCAAAGCTGTTACTGTTAAATATCTTGACTCACTCAAACAGCACATCAGTGAGTGAGTTTTTCTTCAGCCACCCTTTTCATTCACTACGTGTTTATACACGTCTCTGCATTTAATCATTAGTTATTATGCTCATAGGGTGTCATATGATTGTTGGGCTTTTCTCTGTTTACTGTATTATTGTAGGAGCTTTATTTCTTGGCATCTGGTTACCGTAGGTTGAGTTTAATGTCCGGACAATTTTAGAGTAAGTGATGCTTTTAGAGACCTGAATGTGGTTAAACCAACTCCCTATCATCAACTACACCAATGACCTGAGGCAGAAACACCGATGTGTACAGAAAGAGTATAGTTTAAACTTGGACTATCTTTTGATAAAAGCTATTTACTTTAGCCACTTACATAACAGTCATATTTAAATTTCAGCCTGTTAAAGAAGGTTCTGTCTTTATAGCTGCAGTTGGAAATGTTAATTTTACATGTTCAATAGTTCAAAACATCAGGCAGCAATATGTCTGCATTCATAAACACAGATTCTAGTGAAATGTGAATGTATGCAACTCACAATGTGTGCAAATAGAGGTTCAAATATACATGATTTTATTGAAAGGATTCATATATTTTATTTTATATATGTGATAAGAAGATATAGGAAAGATATTTCAAATATCACATGAAATAGGATATAAGTATACAGCAAAACACAACAGTGATGGTGTAATCTGCATGACAATATCAAAATTACTCAGGCTACTGAAACCAATGGCAGTTGGTTCACACACAAAATGAATGAAGATGCATCATATCAGCATTTATAACTTTCACTCCCAGAAGTGCCCTATTTTACACTGGATGTATAGTCTGTTATAATCACAAAGCATCAAACATAACATTTAAATAGTGCCTTTAAAAATTTCACAAATATCACATTCATTTAAATAATTTAAAAATCAGTCGCTGTAAACAACCTAAAGCAGAAATAATAATATCAGACAAAAATTCCAACAACTCAGTTCCTGAGCTGTTAGTTTTTGTTAAGCTTTCTGTTGGGGGAAGTTGCTTCACTGCTTATCTTAGGGGCAGAGCTTTTACCCTTTCTCAGTGACTTCACAAACCACAGGAAGATGAAGAACCCTGCACAGCATACAGGGGGAGAAACGGTGAAATAGGTTTAGGCTGTGTACAAGAAGTACAAATCATGCAAACGAAACCGATATTCAACTCTTTCAGACATTACTGTTTCATACAGAGTATATAACAGTAATGTCAAAAATCTGCTCCAAGTATAAGGATGTATATTAATATTATGCATCACTCATTCAATCCCAACACTGTAACATTCCCAAACTGGCCTATAAAAAAGTTTACGTTCCTATTATTAACTGTTTATGAGCATAAACAGGTTTCATAAACCTAAAATAAGACCCCAACATATGATTTTGTAAAAACTACCATATATAGCATAAACAGCAGCCAAATGGCTGTTGTTTAATGCATTGTTACCCTGGCGCTGCATATGCATGTTTTTAAAATGCCAGCTTCAGCACTCACAGTGACCGAAGTCGTTAAAGAAGTGAGATAAATGAATAGGAGCAAACTATACTGACCTTGCAGGGAGTTCAGAACACAGAAGAGGTAGAGGGCAACAGTGGTCAGGTAACCAAATGAGAAGAAAACCAGGCCCCAAGTAATCCCGAGCAGAACGCTGACACCCAGCAGGGCGCAAATGGCTTTCCTGACCTGTTTATGGTGAAGCTGCCCAAACTAATTTGTCAAATACACAATGACATATGACACAGCAGGTTATTGACAATCTGAAGCTAACAGAGGCCTTGAATTGTGTATGAACAAAAGCTGTTCTTCAGTGTCTAATTATTGGAAATATCAATGGTTAATGTTCATTTAAAAAAGATTGCAAGAATAACTCATACCTCTTTGTTATACCCAACATTCAAAACACGCTTGACTGTCACCATAAACATGGTCATGTTAAAGAGGAACACCATGGTGAACAGTCCAGTAGTAGTGACCACCTTCACTATTTCATTAGATATATAGCATCTACAAAGAAAGGAAATAGACAGTGATTTCATCTTACCCGTTTATATTTTTGTTGAGTGTATATAGATGACTGAGTGTCTCAGCATTGCTTAATATTTTTTTCCACTTGTTAATTCATAGTTTATTTATTTATATAGCACATTTAATTACAACAGGAGCGTTGAGCAAAGTGCTGTACAAGACAATTTAAAACATTGAAATATATATTGAATTTCTAATACACATCCAAAACAGTTAATAAGTCAACATTAATTATAATTCCTAATTTCATACCCTTTAAAAGGTTTTCCTTACATTTTAGTGTCATCATGGTTTGACTTGTCTAGAAGGACATGGCCATAAAAGCCTCTGTCTATGATCACCACCACTGACACAATCACTGCAGGAACACCTGAAACACAAGAATTGATTAGTCACTCTGAAGTTTGCTGACTAATAACCAGTGATGCGAATAATGGCATCACAAGTAACGGCGTTACTAACGGCGTTACGTTTTTAAGTTACAAGTAATCTAATTACTGATTACTATTTCTATCGTTACAACGCAGTTACGGTTACTAACAAGAAAATGCTGTGCTGTTGCGTTACTATTTTTCAACAAACAGACAGCTGAAGCTGTGTTCAGCTTAACGCACATAAGTAATCTGGGCACTACAGCTTTCAGCAGCTGTGCGCGCTCCGGCGGATGGCAATCACAATCACTTTTTGGCACAACACCTGGAGCTTACATATATTGTAATATATCTATATCACGGCTAAAGCACTTCTGGATGCATGCAAACTGCATTTCGTTGCCCTGTACCTGTGCATGTGCAATGACAATAAAGTTGAATTCTATTCTATTCTATTCTATTCTATTCTATAAGGGGGCAAACTTTCGCATGAGTTCTGCTGTTTGACTAAGGAGGAATAAAGTAATTGTGGTAAGCTAATCATATGACCACTTCAAGATGACAAAGCAACAAGGTGATATATACCAGTTGTGTTGATAGGCCACGTAAAACCAGAGTCATGATAATCAATATATACGCGGCGTTTTTTCCTCAATAGTTTCGTCACGTTTACTGTCTAAGGACAGCGCTAGCAAGCACTCTCTGCTTATGACCAAAAAATAAAACAGAAAACAGTTGGTGAAAAAATGCACCATGTCGACCAATCAAAAATGATATGGCAACATGACATTTGGTTGTTTAGGAAGAGGGGGAAGTTTAAGGAGTGACCGCGAGAAAGAGCGAGAGAGAAACAGCAGAAAACGAGAGAGAGCGAGTTTTGAGATGTGAGAGATTTGTGACCTTCAGCATGTTTGGAGTGTGTAGTTAATGTGTTGTCTTGTGTAGTTAGTGTGTAGTGTTGTAGATAGTTTTGTGTTGTGTGTCAGAACAATGAGGCGCCAGGTAAAAAACAGGAGTGATACACCTGCTGCTGTCAGACCTGCAGGTATCAGGCTGTGATGTTCTCCTTTATAGTGGACAGAAATTATTTTTTGGAGTGGCACAAATAATTTGTGTGGAATCTTATTTAATGCAGAACAGCTGATTGTTATGTCAACAGTTTGAAATGTTTTTTTTTTTTAAAAGAGGGTAAAAGGTAAATTGCAGCAGATAACTTTGTTGTTGGCAAAACTTGTGCAAAGGATTTTAAAATTGATCATTTATATTTGCATTTAAAGTTCTGAAATATGATCATTAAACATGTCTGTGGTTGCTGCAGTAAAAAATGTAACTTTCTACTCAGATTTTATGTTTTTTTTGTCTGATTTTAGATCAACTGTGTTAATACAGAATGTCAAAATGAAAACACAACTGTAAATTCAGACGTGAGGTTGTGCTGAAAAGAATGATACCAGACAAAGTAAAGTAAATCGTTTTTAAAGGTTAAATGTAGAGGTAAAATCAAAAGTGGTTTAAAATGGCCAATTATACCCTGGACCCCAGAGGGTTAAACCTTTTTTTAAAGTGACTTAATAGTTACTTTTCATGTAATTAATTACTTTTAGGATCTTGTAACTCAGTAACTGAGTCAGTTACATTTTTGAAGAAGTAACTAGTAACTATAATTAATTACTTTTTCAAAGTAACTTGCCCAACACTGCTAATAACCACCGCTTCCTGTTTGAAGGATTCCACTTACCCCATCCCACCACACTGAGTTTGAGAATGTATCTGCTGACAGAAATGTTGAAGATTTTAACTAGGAGAAGGTAGAGGTGGAACCCCTCCAAGGCCATCCAGGTGAAAGTGGCCAACAGGGAGTAGTGAAGGGCAAGAGCCATGTAGAAACAGAGCCAAGTGGAGGGGTGTGCTGCCACTGCCTGACTGGGCAGGAAGTGCAGGTTGAGGAGGATCAGGGCGATGACGAGATTGATGTGGATGTTCATAGAAAGATCTTCTCTGAGTGTCCTGTTGGACAGAGAAGAAGGGATTTGTTGTAAATAACTTTCTATCGGTCATATCTTAACTTTATATTAAAATTTTACAAAAGAATGAAAAAAGATGACCTTTGCAAAACACAGATGGTGGGGAAAAAATTGACAAAAAAGGAAAAAAAAATGGGAAGGAGCAAAAAAAGAAACACATTGGTGCACAAATGTGCCAGAAAATGGAAGTAAATATATAGTAAATAATAATAAATACAAGGTGGAATTTACTCATTTCAGATCCTGAAAAGGGAAAAAATAATTAGAGTTTGGAAAATACAACCAGAGAAGAATAAATTACCTGTTTGTGATGAAAAGTAAAACGGTGATGACCAGGGCAACAAGAGAAAAGCTACAGCCAATTATTGTAATGTATGATAGTATTTCCATGTCTTTTTTTGAAAGAACAGCATCCCCCCCAGACGAAGCAGAAACCTGTAGAGAAATACATATTCATGCTATCTTGTCACATTATTAGCAGGACGGATATATTTTAAGTTTTACTCATCCTGTATATACAAGATATACAAATCCTCAACTTCATGGTACATTTTTTTTAAGATGACATTTAACAGTTTTTAATTCACCAGATGTTTACCTTTACTATCTCTAAATACTTTGCATGGAACTTTACAATTACTCTGTTTTTTCTGTCTTTGTTTTTTTTGTGCCATTTCTGCCATCTAGTGGTAGAAGTATGCTGTGGAGGTTAATTACAGTCTTTTGCTTAACAAGAGAGGATTTGTGTACTGTATAATGGTGTATTTCTATTAGAGATGGCACGATACCACTTTTTCATGTCTGATACCAATATCATAAATTTGGATATCTGCCGATACCGATATGAATCCGATATAGTGTGTTTTTTAATCAATAAAAATTTTTTTTTTAATATCTTGCTGCTTTTTGTATAAGTTCATACTCAAGTTAAAAAAAAACACTAAAGCTATTCTGTTATACCTGTAAGCAAAAAATGCACTGCACCCAAAATATTTCATAGTTCAGCAATACTGATCAATCTAATAAACTTAATCCTACTCAATCCTCCCTATTCTGGTATTTTAAAGAATAAACAACCTAACTAATAGGGCTCTAACACTCCCAGCAAAAAAAAAAAATTGATGGGACAAAAGATCGGCCGGGCGTTTTGACTAGAGACCGGCCCACCATTATAGGAAAAACCATAAAGCCTTTGAATGAAAGCAAACACTGTTGTGACAGTGATGTACACTGTTTTCATGGTATATATGTAACAATCTATCAATCATTTGTTGTAATATTCAGATAATTATTTTTTAAAAGCGAGACATTTTAAATGAGAATAAGAAAGAAAGGTATTTCTTTGTGCCCTCCCCCCCGTTAATGCCCTACCTGGCCCCCTTGGCAAAACTCTGCTAGACCTGCCCCTGCACAGTTACCAGCTGTCAGCTACATAGAAAATGATCCTGGTGTTATTTGTCTCTCAGAAACAGTTCAGAACTTCCCTTCAACTCATTCTTGTCACCTATAAGGTAAGCCTGTTTCTCCCTCACCTGTTCAGCTCTGATGATTCAGTAAGGACATCTCCTGGTTTCATCTTGGATGATCTGATATCCTCGTGTTGGTGTTGTTCCCAGACCATCATGAAAATGTTGTTCCAGGTTCAACATTGCAAGTGACCAATCACATTGTTGTGACGTTATTCTTTTGCGCGCCAAGCCATTCGTGCATTTATGAAATTCCAATGTTGCAAGGACAATATCAATTCTGCTTACTGTTTATTAAAGGGTTACGGTTAGGGTTAGGGTCAGGGTCCGTTGATCGGCGGACAGAGGCGGTTTCACGCAGCTTTAGTACAGTTTTTTGTTTTACGCCGGTTTTTCCCGAAGTCGCAAAAGTATGACGTCACAACATTCTGATTGGTCACTTGCAATGTTGATCCTGGAACAACGTTTAGTATGATGATCTGGGAACAACACCAACACGAGGATATGCTTTCATCTTCATGTTTCCCTCTCACCACATATCCAAACCGATATCATGACCAGCAGCTTTACAGCTGTGGCTCCAGCAAACATCAGCTGATACTAGAAATTAATATTAAATAAATTCTAACAACAGCTGATCAAGCTTAAACGTGCTGCTGTTGTTTAGCGCGACATCCGCTGGTTTCCTCTTTCTGGCGCAAAGTGGGCGATAAACAAACAAGAGAGAAAAGCCGATCAGCTGATCATTGATCAGTTTCATGATTGAAGTAGAAACAGGAGAGGGAGGGGGAGAGGATGAGAGAAGAAGAGGCAGCTGTGCAGCAAAGACACAGAATAACTCCAGCTTTGTGTCTTTTTCATTGTAGCTGAAGTCCGGGACAAACTGTGTTCCTTTTCAGCTCAGTAACATCATAGCGCCACCTAGCTGTATAGAAACTCCTTGTCCTAGTACTGAGGATGAAAAAGTCAGCATAATGAAAATAAACTACCCTTAAACTTGGTTTATATCTGACCCAGATAGACTGCAGGTCATAACTTCTTACCTGAAGTTCAGCTCACCTGACACTCAGACCGGCGGCCGCCTCGGCTCTCTCTTCCTCCTGCGTCCCCTTTCCCTCATCCACCTGCTGGCTGCCACCTTGCTAATATTACTGAATCTGTGGAAGCTCCGCAATGCCACCACACGTAGTAACAAATAACGATCTAAATCCCAGTAACGATTAACACGTTCCTGATTTTGGCATAATAACTAGTTACTGTGCTTGTTACAACAATAATAACGTAGTTACTGTAACGCGTTACTTAATAACGCATTAGTCCCAACACTGTTTATAAAGAACACAGGGCTGAATTTAGCAATAGATCTCAAATATGACACTACACATACTACATCCAGAAATGGATCTGCCAACTTTAGAGCAAATTGGATGGAAAATTTTATAGAAATCCAAGATGCAGATGGCAAATGAAGAGATGGATTAACTTCTTTGTGCAATTTTATGACTGTATTTTGTTGAAGAAAGGTTCCTTAGTTCTCAAGATATGGCATGACATTTTGTATACTGAAACACAAACAAACAAACAATCCTACCATGAGCACACCGAAGTATGTGAAATGGTTACAGGAACATGTGACATTACTCTGATCATGTGTCCAAATGGTGTGGCATCCATCTGTACTAAAATCTGAAGTCAAAGTCAAAGAGATGAATGAGATGCTGCCACATTTCAATTACATCAGCTCATTCAGAAATCTATAATGGTGAGTGAAACCAGAGAAATGTCATGCTTGGTTACTCACTGTTTGTTGAAAAATTTAAGAAATGACAGGAGGGTCTCTGGGTTTGCTAAGACAAAAAGAAAGAAAGAAAGAAACAAACAAAATGTATGTTTATATCTGGTTAATATTACACATCTATATATTTCTACTTATGTTTACTGATAAAATCTACACTTCTACTTTTACATGTAACTAAATATTAACTAGATTAAATATTATTACTCTCTCTAAAATACTACATTTTTACAGTAATCTTTCATACATCAAAATACACAGTTATTTTGTGTTGTGTTAAATAACAATGATATAAAACTATTGAGAAAAATAGTGGAATAAACAATTAGATTGTAATTACAATTATATTCTGGTTAAATTTCATGGTGATGTTGACAGGTTGCCGAAGTCCCGATATGTTCTTGCCCTTCACACTCAGGATTATCATTCGTCTATCATAAACTTCAAATAAGGCTCCAGGATCACTCTACAATGCAAAACGTTGGTCAGTTGGTTTGACTGTTTCTCCAATACAATTTATGTAATATTTTCTCACTGTCCTGACTGTCTGAAAGGAAAAAAAAGCAACTCAGTGAGACAGTTAATGCGTAGTGAAAGTCATTTACATCTTAGTAAAAACATTATTTCCTGATGTACCTGCCTGGTTATCTCTAAATCTGTATTATTTACATTTTTGATTTACATTTTGCAAA